GTAATTTGCCATTTTTACTGAGGGGGTCTCACCTCAGGAGTGTGGGGCTGCCTACTGACCCCAGTGCTTTGGTGAGGCCACACACGAGTCCTGTGCCCAGGCTGGGCCTCTCCGGTCAGGGAGGACATTGAGGGGCTGGAGGGAATCCAGGGAAGGGAATGGAGCTGGGGAAGAGTCTGGAGCCCCAGGAGAGGCTGAGGGAGCTAGAAAGGGTCTGGAGCCCCAAGAGGGACTGAGGGAGCTGGGAAGGAGATGAGGAATTCCTGAGGGAGCTGTGAACGGGCTGAGCCTGGAGAAAAGGATGCTCAGGGGGGCCCTTGTGACTCTGCACAACTCCTGACAGGAGGGGACACCCGAGGGGGATCGGGCTCTGCTCCCATGGAACAAGTGATAGCACAGAGCCTTAAGCTGCACCAGGAGAGAGGTTTAGGTTGGACATTAAGAATTTTTTCCCACAAAGAGTACTTAGATACTGGAATGCATTTCCCAGGGAGGTGGTGGAATCACGGTGCTTAAGGACACATCTGACATCATGGCACTGAGGGCTCTGGTTTAGATGACAAGGCGGTGTTTGGGTGGCAGACGGGCCCCGATGCTCGCAGCAGCGTTCCCCACCCAGCCATGCCGTGACTCCCCGCCCCGCCCGCCGCCGCCGCGCCCCTCAGGGCCGGGCGGGCCCACGCTGCGGACGGATCCCGCGCGGCTGCACCGCGGCCCGCACGCCGCCGCACCTGATTGGCTGCAGCGCGCCTGGCCCCACATCAGCCCAGAGCGCGCTCTCCTCGCGGCTGGCCCGACGGGGGAAGAGCCGACGCCAGCAGGGACCAATCAGAGCAGAGGTTTCTCAAGCCTTTCTCCCCACCGACCAATGAGCGGCCGGATCAGGGGGAGGTGTGCCCAATCAGAGGAGCGCTCTCATGCGGCTCGGCGGGAGGGGCGCGGTCCCTCGGGTCCCCTCAGCGCCGGGGCGGTGCTGAAATTGCCCGTTTTAGCATCAAAAAATCGATTCGGCTGGCAAAGCCGCCTGAGGCCATCGATTCCAGCCTATGACTCAACACTACCCTGTCAACCCGACCACGGCAGTGAGCGCCTCATGCAACCTTTCCTGAAACGTCTCCAGGGCCGGTCATTCACCCACCTCCCTTCCCGAGCAGAAACTCTAATGTCTAAAATACCCTTTCTGCTAAATATTTCCTCCTAATAGCAGCGGCAAAACTGCCGCTTTCTCCCACCCAAAGTAACCTGTACTCCTAAAAAGAAAATGAGCAGCTAAATCACCTGAGAAGGGACCCAAAAATCCTCTCGCTGAGCTGAAAAAGGTGTAATCTATAAAGGACTGACCCGGTTACAGCTCAGCGACGAAGGGGAATGATGGATTTGCTGATAAAACTGGGCTTTTGGGAAAGCCTGATAGCACTTTCTCCCTTATTAGCAGCAGTTTTACTCTTGTATCCTTATTAAGAGGGGGTTGTGCATCCATGTTCCCTTCCTCCATTCCAATTTTCCCTTATCCAAACGAGTTTTTCCCTCTTTCAAAAGTGACTTTGGAAAAATCAGAAGTAAAAGAAGGAAAATTAAACAAACTTTTAATGAGAAAATGGGCATTAACAGGACTGTGGTGACTATTGTAACTAAGTTTGGAGACTAGATTAGGACGAGGAAAATAGCCTGAATGAGATTAACTGGAGTTGCCCATTTCCAAATCTTTTTAAGCCTTGCTTTATGCCTGCTAATAGTAATAATAGGGTAGAAATGAAATAATGTTTTCTGCCTCAGATTAGATTAGGGGCCATTCTAAAGAATTATGCTGTTGATGGCATTACCCCACTGAGGGCTCTGAGGTAACCTGGAGTCACCTGCAAGACTAAACTGATGAAATGCCAGAATCTATGAGATAAAAGTTTTGTAATAATACCTCAGGGCAATCTCTGCAATATGCCAAGACCTGACCATGATCCCTTCAACCAACAGCTGGATTAAGACATCTAAAGATTTTGGAAATTAAAAAAAAATCCTATATTCAGAGCATCAGCCAGCTGGTTAATGAGTCTGGATAGGAATAAGAAATTCCTGGCTTATTTCATATCTGCAGCCTCTATATGGTGTCAGGAGTACAAGCAACCAGAATCAAAATCAAAGGTGTTTGGAGAAGGAGAAAAAGAAATAAAAGGGAAAAGAAAAGGAAAAGGAAAAGGAAAAAAAGAAGAGGAAGAAAAGAAAAAGAAGAAATGAAACATTGACACATTGCAAGAAAAATCTCATGGGGAGGACATTAAGGAAAAAAGACCTAAAGTGACAAATGGCCATAAAGAGATCAGCTATGACAGCTTGAGGCTGTGAGATGAAGCAAAGACAGAAACATGAGGGTCAGGGAGGTTAAGAGCTGTAACATCAGCTGGCTTTCTTTAAGGCCATGCCACTTTTTTGAGCATAATGACAATTTTAAAAGAGAGAACCCTGTGATCTGCTAAAACTCAGACTCCTAGAAGCCCTCAATTTTATCTAAATCTGTTCAGATTGTTGTTAAATCCCTATCTCCGAGTGAAACAACTTAGAGAGTTTTTGGTGCAGGTGAGGAAATGGAGAAGCACACTCATGCCTCCTCTGTGCAGTGAGACCCTCACCAGAGGACCAGAAAGCTCCCAGCTCTCCTCACTGAGAAGCTGAGTGTGGCTGAGATCTGTGTTTCATGCCATGATGCAATGTATTCTTTGAGCAGACACTGTTTCGTTTATTTAAACGAGGAGGGTGAAATAGCACATAATTTCATAAGAGCTGGGCATTTGTAGAGATAAACTCACCTGAAATGGGCTCGTTGAGACAGGCCAGGGTATCAATAAAATGCCAGGAATTTTCCCAAATTGTCCTGACCTCGTGCAAAGGGCAGCCACTACCACAGGCCTCTGGAACTCTGTGGAGAACAGATGGGAAGGCACAAGAGGCACTTTGGAGAAGGGATGTTGAGGGGATTCCTCCACAGAAATTCACACAGAGAAATAGGAACGTTCCCAAATTTGCACAAACAAGACCCACTGGATCATAAACAGCACAAGGGAAGGCCATGACAACTGGAAACAAAGCAAAGAAATATACCAGGCACAGAAAACAGCACTGATTATCATCAAGGTTTTTTTGTATTGTGTAACTTGCAAGAAATGCCCCAGAAGCTGACATTTAGTGTGGAATTGACAGAAACCTCCTAAGAACCTCCAAAATATCATCAGTTACCAACCTGTTCTGGGAGAGCATGAGGCTTCAGACTGTACACAGGTATCAACAGATCAGCAAATCTTAAATGAAAGCAAAATTTATAAATACATAAAACATCTATATCCTGCTGAAATCGAATCCTAAGTACCTTCCTGGATGGGGGCCCAACCCCTTCCAGGGCCAAATAGAAAACAATGCTGAGATGTCCAGGCTGTTCTGCTAAATGTGAAAATAAGTGCTTTAGCCAGACTAAAACTGGGAAAAAGGCCATGGCAGAGATGTCTATATTCTAAATGTCTACTCAGCTAGCAGCCCTAGGCTGAGCTACACGGTTTAAACATTCAGAAACTCCAAGAACATGGCGTATAAAATCAGGTCCTGCAGTCTCTCCTCATAAGAGATGCTCCAAACCCCAAATCATCTTTATGGCCTCTGCTGGACCCTGTCCAGCAGCTCCTTATCTCTCCTGTGCTCAGCAGCCCCGAGCTGGGCACGGTGCCCTGTGGAGGCTGACCTAGAACAGAGGCCAGGCAGAGTTACAGAATAAAGCAGGGATTTATTAGAAGGCCTCCATGGATCCACCTTGGGCAGCACGAGAGCCCAGCCAGGGCTATACACCCAAAAATGGTCACAGAAAATAGGATTGGTCAGGGAGGTCTCACAGTTTTGTAAGGTCTGCTCCATTTACATATTGGAGTTAATTCTCCAGTTATAGCTTTAGATTATGAAGTCCCATGCTGCTTGTTTTTCTCACTTCAGTCCACATTGTTTATGCTCTTGGGCCTGAGCTTTGGATCAGTTGTCCTTGGTCCCCAGATAGAGAAGGAATTGCTTTGTCTCCCTACTCTGTGAAGAGACCTTACTAATATAAAGCCCAGACCTACACCCTAAAGCAACACAAAACCTGAAAACTATAAAATCTAACCCTGTGGCACCTGGCACAGCACTCCGGCTGCGTGTGTGTGCTGGAGCAGCGGGGTCGGACCCTGTGAAAAATGCCAATCCCTTGTTTTTAAAATTTTAAAAGTTTAATAGTGATAAAATGGTTACAAAAATAGTAATACAATTACTATTTATTAGAGTGTTAGAGTATATTTAATTAGAGTAACAATAATTTGGACAATTTGAATTAGGACAATATGAGACAATAGAAACAAAGAGTTATGGACGTCCGGGTACCTTTTTCTGGGCAAAACAAGCCCAAAGAAGGATGCACGTTAACAGAGGATTAAAAACAATAACCTGTTGCATATTCATACATCTCATCCATGATGCATAAATTCCACTCAAACACAGGATTCTGTCTGGTCACTGTCAACTTCTTCCTCTGAATCCTGACGGCGTCGTCCTGCCCCAGTGAGGTGGGAAGAAGTTCATGTCTCCTGATAATGGAGCAATAAATTCTCTTTCTCTGAAAAATTTAGGTATCCTGTGACTGCCATCTCACTGCGAGCCCTTTCTTTAGAAAAACAAGTATCCTACATGGCATAACTTCTATTTTAACATTTTGTTATAACCTAAAACTATATTTAACACACTACATAAGAGAATCAATACAAGCATTACCTTCTAACACAACACGTATAATATTTATTTGATTATTTGCGAAAAGCCATTTATAACACACGCGTTTTTCCACAGCCCCGCCGTGCCGCTCTCCGCTCTCTCCCCTCAGGGCCGTTCGTCCCCGTGATTTCCTCCCGCCCGCGGCAGCCCCGCCCGCGCGGCCGCAGTTGCGGCGCGGGGCCGGCGGGGGGCGCTGCGGCGGCGGCGGGCGCGGCGGGGCGGCCATGGCGGCGGCGCGGCGGGTGCAGCTCCGGGGGCCGCTGCTGCTGCTGCTGCTGCTGCTGCTGCTCGGCGCGGCGGGGCCCGGCGCTCAGGCCGCACGGAGCCGCGGGGCCGACCGCCAGAACAGCCTGCGCCGCGCCGCCAGCGGCCTCTACCAGGGCGTCAGCGGCCTCTTCGGCGAGGACAACGTGCGGGCCCTGCAGAAGGTGAGGTGCCGCTCGCCGCCCCCCCTCTCCCCTCCGGCTCCTTCGCCTCGGTGCTCCGGTGGGGAGCGGGCGGCTCTGAGGCCGCAGCCCCGCGTCCCCATCGCCCGGCTCGGTGCGGGACCGGCCGTGGCCTCGTCAGCGACCTCAGGAGCGCTGCTGTGGGGAGAAAACGGGAGGCCAAGGCTTGCAGGAAAGCGGGGGGAAATAGCAGCTAAAGGCTTAAATAAAGGTGGTGTGAGGTGGGGAGGCGGCTGGGGCCGCTGGGTGAGGAGCCCTCGGCTGAAACCCGCTCTGGCTGCAGGGCAGAGCATCCTGTGCTCGTGGGGCCAGCGGAACTGGCAGGGAAGCAGGCGAGCATTCCTCTGTGCCTGCTGTCCTCAGGCTGTAATAAATTCTGTTGGATTGACCTCTGAGTACACCTGAGGCATTTGCGTGTGATGCTGGGGACATCTCTCAGTTGCTCGATAAAAGGAATTCTTCGGTTTGCTTTGCCAGTTGTTGGTAATAGTGTTTTCTCTAATCTTCAAAATGATAGTAAAGCCAATAAAGTGCATTTTTAAATCCTGCCAACATATGCATTTACATGCCAAATACCTACAATAACGATAATTGCAACGCATAAATTCATGATTCACAGTTTTAAAAAAAAAATCAGATTTACAAATTTTCCCATGGGGACTACAAAATAATCTGCAATTCTTGCTTAATGAATTATAATTCTACTCCTGACAAATAAGTCTCAAAGTGTTACTTTAGGAATTGAGGATTTTTTTAATTTTCAATTTTATTTCTCAGTTTTTCTCAAGGTTGACAGAGAGGTTTGTGAATGGGGTGGATGTATTAATGGACACATTCTGGAGAATATGGACTGATTTGTTAGATGTTCTTGGAATTGATGGTAAGTGTGACACCTGCTCACCCTTAAACTGTCTCAGCCTGTATCAGTGCTTACAAGCAAATGGGAAAACAGTTACATTTTATCATGCTGCTTAAACATCCCTCAGTGGTGTGTCTCTCTGCTTCACATGGCTTTGATTTTCCTATTAGTATCCTCTAACAAGGAGACTGAACCCCACCATTCCATTTCTGTCTGTGTATCTACAGGATGTGTATAGAATGAATTACCAGGCACGGTTGGTTCCTTGGTGTCATCATTAAATGGATTCACACAGCCAGGAGCAGTGCAGGGAAATCAATGAGGACTAGAGAAAGGAAAGATGCAGTTGAGAGCCTTAGAATGTCGCTTTTACAAAGCAGGATCTGTAGCCCCAGTATGAGTTTTGACCTCAGGCTCTACAGTGGTTTGTCTTTAAAGAGCCTTTAGCACCTTTCCTGGAATGAATTCAGTTGAATCCTTGGAGCTGAGCCAGTGATTTGAAGAAGGTTCATCCTGAAATAGGTGAACCAGCTTTACCCTTTACTTTAGAAAGCAATGCTGTGACCCCATTGCTGGGCGGGTTTGACCCTTTGGAGCTGTGCTCCTGTTTTTGCCCCACTGCTGTGGGGGTTTGACCCTTTGGATTTGTGCCTGTGTTTTTGCCCCATTGCTGGGGGGGTTTGACCCTTTGGAACTGTGCTCTGTGTTTTTGCCCCATTGCTATGGGGATGGATTTGTGCCTGGTTTTGCCCCACTGCTGTGGGGGTTTGACCCTTTGGAGCTGTGCTCCTGTTTTTGCCCCACTGCTGTGGGGGTTTGGCCCCTTGGAGCTGTGCTCCTGTTTTTCTGTTTTTGCCCCACTGCTGGGGGGGTTTGGCCCTTTGGATTTATGCCTGTTTTTGCCCCACTGCTGGGGGGGTTTGGCCCTTTGGAGCTGTGCTCTGCGTGTTTTTGCCCTTTGCACCTTCAGCCCACTCTCATTAACATCCTGTACATTTCCCTTTGTTTTTCAGCCTCCAACCTGACTCATTATTTCAGCCCAGCAGCCATTGCCAACAACCCGACCCGCGCCCTCCTGCTGATCGGTGCCATTTTACTGGCCTACTGGTTTTTATCTCTGTTCCTTGGATTCTTCTTCTATCTCCTGCACATGCTGTTTGGCCGCTTCTTCTGGATCGCCAGGGTGGCCCTGTTCACCCTGTCCTGTGTGTACATCCTGCAGAAGTACGAGGGGGACCCGGAGCACGCCGTGCTGCCCCTCTGCTTCGTCGTGGCCGTCTACTTCATGACGGGGCCCGTTGGGTTTTACTGGAGGAGAAACAGCAACAGCAGCCTGGAGGAGAAGATGGACCACCTGGACAGCCAGATCAGACTGCTGAACATCCGCCTCTCCAGGGTGATTGAGAACCTGGATAGGGGCAGTGAGCAATGAGCCAGCCCCCGCTGACCACTGAACACCAGCTCTGGAAAAATCCTAAGCACTGTCTCAGCCGAAGTTACAAAGCAACAAAACATCACATGGTAAAAAGTGTGCAAAGTTATAACTTTTCATGATGTCTAAGACTAATTTATCTAGGTTAAACACTCAGCCGTTAGACTTCTAGGAGAAAGAAAAAACATTTACAAAATTCAGCTGTATATTCAGAGTTTTATCCAGTACTAGAATTTTCTCAGTAGATAAACGCTTACTTTTACAAGCATTTAAAAACATCTTTTGTAAGGTTTTTATAAAAGCAAATTGAGTAGTCTTTCAGATATTGAAATTGAGTTAAACATATGCAAATTTGACACTTTAACAGTTAAAAAGAAAAAAAAAAAATCTCAAGCTACCAAGCACTTCCATTGAGAAGTAACTGCTGTGGGTCCATATTTTTTCTTCAGAGTTGTGAATGTTTTTGTGTTTTTGTTGGCTTATTTCATTGCCTTGAAGTTGCCTTTCATAGAGTATCAGATGAGGAATTTTCTGGTATCCAGGCCAAAAAATTCACACCATAGCTTTTAACAGGAGGTGGGGAATGAGGGAGGAGGAAGATCTGAAGTCCTTAAATGCCAGTCCAATGTGAGGAAGCACACGTGTGGCATTTGATCATTGCATTTCATCCCGAGAACTTTAATTTGTTAGTGTCTGGAAGGAAATCTGCTTTAATAAATTGGCACAGAAGGAAGATGTAGCGTGACAAATTGTAATTCATATTTGATCTGCACAATGAAGCATTTTCCAAGCTTAAGTGCATAGAGTAAAACATGGTTTTTAATCTCAGGACCCACGTACCTTCTCAGAAAAGGCAGCAGTTAAAACACGTGCAAATGTATTGTTGCTTAAAGCTTTCTCAGGACCAATCAGCGGCAATAAATTATCTTCAGGAAGATCTGGATTTTTTTCTAAAATTACAATAGTTTTATAGGAGCTTTTTGCTTGAAGTCTATGTCCTCATTAGGTTTTGGGAAAAGCAAGTCACCTTTAGGAGGAGGATGTAGGAAACGGTTCTCGTTCAAAGCAGTGGAGCTTTGGAGCAATTTTATTTTGCAGGATTTCTGTGTTTCTTACTTGGTAGGGCATCACTGGCTGTGCTGGTTTACTGAAACAAAGGGAACCTCAGGGAAGGAAGCCTGGAATGTGGTTTCACCTGGAAACAGCAGCATGCAAGGACACAGATGTGAGGAGGGAGGGGAAGCACCTACCCCTAGTGATGAGCACAGTTCTGATAGCACCAGGGGTAGGATGGAGCACAGCTGGAGCATTCCATATTCCATAGGGTCCAAACGAACAGCTGCATCAAAAAACGCAACAAAAATTGGTCTGGGATGGGGCCTGGCTGCAAAGCAAGGGAACCAGGAGGAGGAGGAGGAGGAGGAGGTTCCCAGATGTGCCTGCCAGTGCCAGCTCCAGTGGGACAGGCTGAGCACAGCTTGTTCTTCCACTGGGCAAAGCTTCTGGGTGTGATGCTTAACTGAATGTAACTGTGGGGCGAATTTATTTTTCTCTTTATGCTGAAGTTTTAATGTTCTTCTTGAAATGTGTGTGTTACTTGCCTAAACCTCTTTGGGTCTGTGTGTGGCATTTCCATGGGGGTTATTTTTATAAATCCATGTTAATGGCCTTTACTCCTGGTGATCACTTCGGTTCAACACGGTTGAAGTTCATATGCACTCGGCACGGTTGGAATGCATTTTAATTTTTTATGTCACCTGTAAATCCCCCTGCACCCCATTTATTAACAAGTACATGAGTTTAGAGTTGTTAAATAACTGGTTATCACAACTTAAAATCATTCCTGTGATCAGATAGGGACTATGGCAGCAAATAGTCCATTTTGTCAAGCTGAACATGTAAATGACAGTAAATTCCTTTTTTCAGCTCATTTTCCATAGTATTACAGAGTCTTCCCTGTAGACTCAGTTCTCCCTACTGTTGTGCACAGAGGACTGGGCTAAAATGCCAACCTGGAAATTAGGAATTGACTAGTAAAGCTTGTCAGGTCTTGATGTGTTTTGCCAAATGTGAGACCTGAGGACCAAAGTTTGCAAACCTTGCTCGTGTCAGTGGCTCCATTGCCTTCTTAGGACAATGTGCATGGGTCAGTTTGCATAGATTGTATTTTGTGTAATCCATATTTAACGTTAAAGTTAAAAATACTGAACATTTATATATTAAGAGTTGTCTATGATAAAGATTTCTTTGAAAGTATTATATGAAAGTTAATTTGGATTATAGTTTCTCCCTGTCTAATCATTTATCTTACTTTTGTAAAATCAGCCCTTCTATATATTAATACTCTTTATTTCGATCACCCTGCTGCTTGAAAAATGGTATTTTTATATTTACTTGCATCCCATGTATAGCAAAATGTTATGTGAAAAGCAGTATATATAAAATTGGGTATTTTTAATCAGTATTTTTCCCAGCACTCAGTTTTCACGTTAGTCAAATTCAGAAGTAATGATTTTTTTAAAGCACAATCTAATCTTCAATATATATATATATATACATATATAAATATATACTTTAAAAATGCTCTGTATTTTTAAACATGCACTGTAGTGAAAGCGCTTTTGGGGAACATGAATGTGGTATTGTATTTAATCTCTTTCAACTTTTGTAAATACCTTTTACAAGTATTTTCCATACTGGGCCATCTAGTTTATCCATGGAGGTTTTTGCTGTTTTTTAGAAACCCGTGCCAGTGGCTGCACTGCTTTTGTATCCCACAGAGCATCTCAGAGACAGGCAGGGCTCTGTGTCACCTGTGGGCAAACCCTGGCAAGTGACACCTGTAGGGTGGCACTGGAGGAGCCCTCAGTAGGTGACACCTGCAGGGGTGGCACTGGGGCAACCCTTGACAGGTGACACCTCCAGAGGTGGCACTGGGGCAGCCCTTGGCAGGTGACACCTGCAGGGTGGCACTGGAGGAGCCTTCAGCAGGTGACACCTGCAGGGGTGGCACTGGGGCAACCCTTGACAGGTGACACCTGCGCAGGGCAAGGATGGCACGGGACAACCCTGGTGGCTTTGGCTTTTTGCCGTGACTTCCCAGAGCTCTGCCACAGCCCTGCCCATGGTGCCCTGCTGGGGCACAGGTGACACAGGGACAGCCCCAGCTGGCTGCTCCTGCAGGACAGGACCTGCTCCTGCTCCTGCTCCTGGACCTTCCTGCGGCCACTGGAGAACCCAGCCCTGTGTGAGCAGCGGGCACAAGCGCCCAGGATGGGCTCTGGCTGCTGGGATTGGGAACTCCCTGGGGTTCCAGGGGCTTTCACCTGCCTGCTCTGGGACCCAGCTTTTGCAATCCTGCAGGGTTCTTCCTGTTCTGAAGGGTTTTCAGCTGCCTGCTCTGGGACCCAGCCTTTGCAATCCTGCAGTGCTCTTCCCTCTCTGGAGGATTTTCACCTGCCTGCTCTGGGACTCAGCCTTTGCAATCCTGCAGTGCTCTTCCCATTCCTGAAGGCTTCACCTGCCTGCTGTGGGACCCTGCCCTTGGAATCCTGCAGTGCTCTTCCTGCTCTCGAGGGTTTTCATCTGCCTGCTTTAGGACCCAGCTTTTGGAATCCTGCAGTTCTCTTCCCTCTCTGGAGGGTTTTCGTCTGCCTGCTCTGGGACTCAGCCTTGGCAATCCTGCAGTGCTTTTCCCATTCCTGAAGGTTTTTACCTGCCTGTTTTAGGACCCAGCCTTTGCAATCCTGCAGTGCTCTTCCCGCTCAGGCAGGGCGGCTCCTCTGGACGCACACAGCTGTAGATACCCGATGTGTCCTGTGGGATGTGACGCTTTCCCAGTGGTTTTTGGGTGTCAGAGTGCAGTGTACAAACCTGGTGTGGCTCAGTGCTGTGCTTCTAGTGCGTCCTTCACGTCGTGGTTTGCTTCTCAAGGCTCGTTGCATCGTCGGTGTGGAAATAGACCAGTATCAACCTTAGCTCTTCGGTGGTGTGGAAGTGTTTAAGTGTGGTTTGCCTCACATACTGATCCGTATTTGGCAGCTAATGGCGTTAAGTGACCATGAGTTCTTTTTGTCTGGGTTGGAAAATAAAAGGTTTTATTGTATCCGCATGTATTTTAAACTTTTTGGATAATTCCATCGACCTGTGATGACAGCACATGTAAAAACCGATCTTTTCCTTTTATTCAGAAGTTCTATTTGCTGTGGTAGCACTTGTTGTTGGCACTGATGGTAGTGATTTCACATCCTGTTTTGTGCATCAGGTTTCATGATTACAGTGTTTCAGTTTGTACAATTGTTTATGTAAAAACGATTTGGTCTGAAGAGATGCAGTGTGTTCACTTCTGATCCTAGACACATACGAGATCCTACTGGTAATACTGTTAGTAGTTACAACTGTACCAGACTTATTTTTTACAGAGCTTTACATGCCTTTATTTATTCCTTTATCGGACCATCCAAACCATGTACTCCATAGTTCAGTATTTGTAGACCAGTTTCACAAATCAACTTAAGGTATTGTGGCAAAGCTTCGAATAAATGTTTACTGAGACTTTGCACTGAGCTCGAGTGCCTGCTGAGGCTCTGAGGGGTGGGGTGGGATGGGATGGGAAGGGATGGGATCCATGGGAGAGGATGAGGTGGGGTGGAATGGGAGGGAATGGGTGGGATGGGATGGGATCCATGGGACGGGGTGGGGTGGAATGGGAGGGAAGGGATGGGATGGGAAGGGATCCATGGGATGGGGTGGGGGTGGGGTGGGATGGGATGGGATGGAATAGAATGGGGTGGGATCGGGGGTCCCCAGTATGGGTTGGGGGGGGTGGGTCTCGATCCCGTGGGGCCGCCCCGCGCATGATCCCGTCCGCTCCCGCCCCTTCTCCGTCCCTTTCCCGCCCATTCCCGCCCCTTTCCGCCCTTCTCGCGAGACCCGTCTGTCCCGGAAGTGGCGGCGCCGCGGGCCGCACGTGGGCCCGTACCGGGCCGTGCCGTACCGGGCCGTGCCGTACCGGGCCGTGCCGTACCGGGCCGTGCCGTACCGGGCCGTGCCGTACCGGGCCGTGCCGGGCTCTGTCAGGCCGTGCCCTGTCAGGCCGTGCCGTGTCCCCGCCATCGCCATGGGCCGAGCGCGCCGGCGGCACAACTGGAAGGCGCGGCAGGCGCAGGGTCCCGCGGCCCCGTCCGCCGCCGAGCCGGAGCTGCTGCTGGAGCTGGGAGGTGCGGCCGGGCCGGGCCGGGCTCACTGGGGTTCCGCGCTGAAAGGGACCGGAGCTGCTGCCCTGCCTCTGCTGTGTTTTCATTACATTTTAATCGGAAGCGTTGTTGTTGTTTTAACCCCCCCGGGAGGCGGTGGGTTCCCGTCCCTGCGTGTGGCTCTCACCCCACCCTGGAGTCGGGTCCCAGGCTGGGCTCGGTGATCTCAGAGCTCTTTTCCAGCCGAATTCATTCCCTGGCTCCGTGATCTCGGATCAGCTCTGTTACAGCAGCGGCTGCCTCCAGGGAGCTCAGGAGTTCTGCTTGGGTCCCTCCCGAATCACTCAGTGGCTCCTTTATTAAAACAGCTACTAAACATATTTCCTATGTTAAACATTCGCTTTCTCAAACTTCAAAAAAAAAAAAAGGCATTACTTCAAAAAATTATTCTATTCGATTATTCTATTTTTATTATTCTATTAATGCAGTGTTTTAGTATTAAAATCCACTGGTGCCCAGGTGAGACAGGACGCTGGGGAGTCACCCCAGGGCACACTGTGTCCTGACCCTGGGGGATTGAGTAAAAAGGCAAAAATTGCATAATATTGTTACATAAATCTTGGAGAATCACCCTCAGGACTATAGAAAGCTCAGGGTTATTGAATGCCCAGTTTCGAGGTCTTTTGCCCTTGCTGATGTTGCAGGATTTTCTTTTGGCTGGGCATGAGGGTTGTGTTTGTTAGAAGCAGCTAAATCTGGCCTGGTGCTTGATAAGCCTGCTAAGCAGTGTGCTGAAAATAATCCACCTGGCACGAGTGAATAATGCAACCTTTCCTTCAGATGGAGCAACGCTGAAGGGAATTGACCAAAGCAATGCCCTGGTCCTGCCAGCAAAAAAAGCCAAGAAGAAAAAAGTCTCGTGTGTTGTGCAGCAGCAGAAGAAACCCCTGAGCAAGAAACAGAAGAAAAACCTGCAGAAGATTTTGGAGCAGAAGGAGAAGAAAAAACAGGTATGTTGCTGTTTCTGGCAGCAGCAGCTTCTCAAATCTTAAATTCTTAAATTCTCTTCTCTTAAAATGAGGGTTTGGTATTGGTGAGTGGGGCGGGTGGGTGATGATGAGGATGGTGAGGGGTGTGAGCTGTCAGGGGGTGTCTGAGGTGTGAAATCTCGTGGGTGAACTCTCAGGGGCGTGCAGGTGCTGGGGGTGATGCTGCAGCAGCAGCAGCCCCCCCTTTGCTGGGCATTGGGGCAGAGATGCTGCTGAGGGCAGCTCCAGGGGAGGAGGGCACTCCCTGCCCTCTCAGGGGCTGCAGGAACCTTTGTGGGCCCAGGTTCTGGTTCAGGGGCTGCAGGAACACATCCTTTGTGGGCCCAGGTCCTGTTCTGCCCAGGTGTCCCAGTGCTGTGATGCATCACTGGCAGTAAATGCTGGTTTTGCATTTTTAAAGCACTCTGTGAAATGGGTGCTGTGAGCACCTGCACACCTCTCTGCACCCCAAGAGCTGTCAGTGCTTCTGAAACGCTTGTTGTGTATTTTCAGTGTGCAGGTAACAGCTTTTCTGTCTTTGTAAAACCTTTCCAGGCAGAATTCCTGGTCCTGTCAGTGCCTGGACAATGGCTTTCACAGAGGAGCTCTGGTTTTGGAGGCAGGTTCACCCTGTGGCTCACACCTCCTGCCATGCCATGTCCCAGGGCAGGGATTTGAGGCTCCCATTGCTCCAGGCCTCATTCCAGTGGTTCAGTTCCAATCTCTTTTCCTTGCTGCTGTTTCTAGGGTGCAGCTGAGCTGCTCACTGCTCTGATATCAAGTCCCCATTTCTATTTTTGCTCTGGTACAGGGCTGAAATCTTCACCCTGGAGCAGCAGGAAGCTTTTCCAGCTGCACAGCAGGATTTGCCAGAGCACAGAGCACACCTTGGAATGCTCAAATCTTGCAATGAAATCCTTTCCTGGTCAAAGCAAGCCCTGACTTTGGTTGTTTTCCCCAAACAGAGAGCTGAGCTGCTGAGCAAGCTGAACGAGGTCCAGGCTTCTGAGGCAGAAATGAAACTCCTGTACACAACTTCCAAACTGGGGACTGGGGGGCGCATGTTTCAGGCTAAAAGGTAAAGGGATTTTGGGGTGGAACCCTTGCAATTGATCACTCTGTTTGAACAGCAACATCCTCAGCTTTCCCTTGAGGTTTTTTTTCTTGCTGCAAACAGGTTCTTCAGAATGGATGGCGTTAAATAATTTGCTATTTTTATTTTTATTTGCTATAATTTGCTATATTTTTTATTTATTTTTATTTTTATCTGATAATGAGATAGTTATTTTCTTGGTCTTTCCTGCAGGATGAGGATGAGGAGGGTGACACAATCTGCAGGCTTTTAGCAGTTGTGCTAAACTGCAAAATTGGTGGATAAACACTTATTTTCTTGTGCTGGAAGACATCTACTGATGTTGACCATAGCTGCTAGATTTATCAAGAGCTGCATTCACAGATTAAACTACAAAGATGCCCTCAGAAGAAATGGATAAACCCCAGGATAGAAAGGGCTTAGATACAAATCCATCCATCAAAGCCAAGGCTTTACCTGGCAGAGTTGTTAAAACCTCCAGGAGTGGAGATCTGTTTTTTGGGGAAGTCATGTCTGGTTTGAGGTGCCAGAACACAGTTCACAGGTGGATGTTTTGTTTCCAGGGTGACACAGGAGCCAAGGACTGATGTCCCTGAAAGGATCAGGAGCATCAGCGGTGCCAACAAGAGAAGGCACAGCTCAGGGTCAGAACCAGAGCCTGAGGAAGAGCCCAGCAGCTCTGAGGAGGAGGAGGAGGAAGAGCAGAAAGAAGAGCCTGAGAAGTCCTCAGGCAGTGCTGTGAATGCTGCTCAAGAGGCAGAGGCAGGAGTGGGGAGGGCAGGGGCTGAGCAGCCTCTGGCTGGTCCCAGAGCCCCAGAGCCCCAGGCAGCCCCCAGCAGGGCTCCCTGCAAGCCTGCAGTGTTCATCCCTGTGCACAGGACTCCTGAGATCCAGGTGAGGCTCTGGGAGCAGCACAGTGCTTGTAACAGGGGCTGGGCAGGATGGGGGGCTCCAGCAGCAGGAAAACTCAGCTTGTTTTAGGGTATTAGCATTTATCTTTAGTTTCACATACAGAATCTGTTAACAGTCCTTTATTGTCCTTTGCTGGAGAGTCTTCTGAAGTCCCTTTCAGCTCTCTGCTGTTCTGTACCTTATGCTGGGTGGTTTTGTCCCATTTGTTGTGGGCAGGGCATCGTGCAAGAACAGGAAAAGCTCTGCACAAGTCTCAGCAGACAAGGCAGTTGTGAAATGAGTTTTCCCTTGAAGTGCTGTATTAAGAATCTCAAGGGACTCTGAAGTTTCACAAATTACAGTGCAGGGCTTGCCCTCTGCTTGCTGGGAAGCTGCTCTGATGACTCTGGTTCTCAGCCATGCTTGTGTGGAATGGACTGGTGTAGAGATTTCTGAGTCACAGGCTTGCAGATTTTCTTTTGTGGGTTTTATGGTCTGAGGAAGGGAACAGGTTTCAATCCCGAGGAAAACAAAAAAGGAGCGAGAAGCAATGCAACTAAAATGTGTGTTTTGCACTGTTTAGGAGGCAAGACTAAAGCTCCCCATCCTTGCTGAAGAACAAGTGGTCATGGAAGCCATTAATGACAATCCCATTGTGATCATATGTGGAGAGACAGGGAGTGGCAAAACCACCCAGGTGCCTCAGTTCCTCTATGAAGCTGGATATGCCAGGTAGGAGTTGGATTTTATATGCAGCAAAAGGAATTGCAGGGACAGCATTTTGGGAAAAACTTGTCTGGAATCCATTCATCTTCAGATCAGTACAGATACAACAGACGGGAATCCCAAAGCTCCCTGTCTGTGTTTTCATTCCAACTACAGCCAAGACTGAGGCTGTGTGACTGATGCCATTAATCTAGAGCCATCAGTGAGAAATCCTGTTGTCCCTTTTGGCTGCTCTGTTTAATGAAAACAATTCCTCCTTTTCCTGCCCTCACCCCTTTAGTTCTGGTGGCATCATCGGGATCACAGAGCCTCGGCGCGTGGCTGCCGTGTCCATGTCCCAGAGGGTGGCCAAGGAGATGAACCTGTCACACAGGTGAGCCTCAGAAAGCCTTGGGGCCTCGCTGGGGGTGGCACTGAGGTGCTCTGTGGGTGACAAGGACTCTGTGCTTGTTCCTGGGTGTTTCCCCACAGGGTGGTTTCCTATCAAATCCGCTATGAGGGGAACGTCACGGATGAAACACAGATCAAGTTCATGACAGATGGTGTGCTGCTCAAGGAGATTCAGAAGGTAACTTGCTGTCCTCAGGGTTACAAAAAAGGGAATGTTTTTTGGATAGCTGGGAAGGGAGGCC